GCTGGCGTTCGCCAAGCCCATCCAAAATAGGACCCTCCTATAGAATGCTGCGAACCACAACATCGCATGCATGTGCATAAACGAAGGATGGGGGAATCACGGTAAGCTATTGCGAATTTATCACCCCCGCTCGGGGTTAGATCTGGGGGGACGTCCCGCAATAACATAAGGATGGTGGTCCTGTGTGTGTGATACATATTCCGATATCTTCGCGCGAAACCATCTCAAAACCACACGCTCACCTTGCAACCCATTCCAAAGGCGTTGAATGCATCGCAGTGAAACACCGTCGGCGCGGAGTAGTATGGCAGATTCATGTTGTTGAGATGTACGCCCTCACGTCGCAGCCCCCAAAGCGGACTGTTTGCGGGCCCCTCGGCGCACCACGGGGACTCCGTCACCGCGAACGGCTTAGGCCTGGCGTTACTCTGCAGTGCTTGCTTTGTACCGGTCTGTCTTAAAAAACCTTCCCCAAAAAAGCGGTCCCATGGGTACGGGTGGCCAGCTGCCGCCATCTCGTGCGGCGTCTCCATCTCAACCAGCCCCAGAACGTCGTTGGCCTTCAACTCCAGTTTGCAGGTGCAATCCTTCCACACCCGTAACAGTCCGCCACGTCTCTCCTCATTCCCCACGCCCCGTACCTCGCTCACCCCCCTGAACAGCCGCACGGTTACTAGCACCAACCGACGTTCTCCATCGTAGAAGATCTCCAAAATACGACATAGGGTAGCCACTCCCTCGACCTCGCAAACACAAGTGTCGTTGACGTATACCTTCCTCCCGCACACTCTTGCTCGTATGCCGTCAAAGCCGAAGAATGGGATTGACCTCGCGAGGGTGCCGTTGTGGTTTGAGTTCATGACGTTTCCCTCTCGCCGTGTAGGCACGCAGTTGACGTGGTCGCTCGTCAGCGAATTTGCGGTTGCCTCTTCTCCGCGCAATAGCTGCCCTCCCGGGTATGCGTTCGACAGCGCAGTCTCAGACGGAATCTGCATGACACGGTCGAGCAGCAGATTGACCGGGAGGTCGTACACGACAGACGACGTCGTTCCGTCGTCTGTCGACGGAACGTCTCGCTCCAGCAGCTCTAGCAGGGGCAAGTACGGCCGCATGCGATCATAGAAGTGCTCGGGGTCGACGTCTGCGAGCCCACGTACGTCAAACGGTTCGCCCTCGTACTGCATCAAGAGTACTTCTAGAAGTCCTCTCAATGCCCTTTGCGAGATCCGATGTACATGCTGCCAGACGAAAATTAGTTGTTGCTCCTTCGTACGAAAGGGGTAGAAATCAGAACCTTGGGCTTTTGTGTTCTCTCTCAATTTCTCGGCGCCGCCCTCCACCGTCTTACTCGATGCATAAGACGGCGTCATTGTGTGAAGCTTATTTAACCTGGGGGCAGATGACGCGCCACCATTATGCCCGGGAGGCTCGAATACCTCAGGTGCCCCATCGGTCCCTCTGTTGTCCACATTACCCTGGAAATCGTCGTATCGTTCATCGTCTAACCCGATGTCACCCTCCTCGCCCCCGCTTTCCATGTCTCCCCCGTCGTCGACGGTACCCTCGTCGTCCGTACCCGTGCCTTCCCTGCTCACCCCGAGATTCTCTTCGATCCTCTCCAATAGGCCGCGGAGTCCACCGCCGGTGCCTGTGTCCTCATCTTTTTTTCCATCAGCGCTGCGTGAGTCGTCACCCGCACCACCGAAATCGTCCACTGCCCCGACCTCGGACGTGCTGTCGGGCACGTCATCTCCGTGCGATCCTCTCCGTTTCACAGCACCAAGAAGACGTTGATTGCGAAGTCGTGAGGATTTGTCGAGAAACGCCTGGCATCCGGGGAATGCGCACAAGGTTCTATACGCGAGGCGTTCGTCCGACGTGTATACTTGTATCTTGTATTTTGCCTACTCTAGCTCCACCACCTCCTTCGCAATGCCTCAGGCGCAAAGCACACCGAGCAGCACAAGACGACGACACACGTGTTGTTATGGTGTGGTGCTTTATGCTCGCCACCAGACGGTAGCACAGACATGTGACAGTGGTTAGCTGGGGGGGCGCATATGGTGTCGTGGTCGATCGGTACGTTGTGTACATACGACGGTCTCCAGCGCTCGCCCCCCCCTTTGTTCCAGCCGTGATTGGGCGCGCCACGCCTCTCTCTCCCTCTCTCTCTCTCTCTCTCTCTCTCTCTCTCTCTCTCGTGAGGCTTAGTTCTCTCGTGAGACTATGTAGGTCAGCTACAAAACCCGCGTTTATCCATGTCCTCGGAGACCTGTGATTCTGTTACGAATCATGTACTGAGTTCCGATCGATCTCCACACACAGCACCACGTGCAAACGAACACCGTCGGTTCTTCGGAGATCAATTGCGGTCTTGCGTGTAACCCGGACCGCACGTTATACTACTCGCATCCAACATGTAGAGCAGCACGACCTAACCCAGCGTACTCCAACGTATACGACCACAGCCCGGAAGAAAGTGCGCGCATGGGCTTTCGTGTCACAGCCGCAATGCCAACCCTCGCTAAGCTTACAATTTGTCTATATCAATTCCACCCATCTGAGGAGAAGAGATCGGTGCCGCGCGTCTAGAGTCTGAGCTGTCTTCTGCGACTGGATGCATACCCTCCATTATTAATGGAGGGTATTTGCTGAGCATGCGGCGTGCGGTGTGTTGTAATATATTTCGTGTTCATGTATTGCACAGCGTCGAATATAACTCCCGCACCGGCTCTATTAATGTACTTTTGTCCACACACTTAGCACACCTTGGGCATCGACTGGTGCATCGTTCCCTCGTTCTCGCACGGCTGGAAGGTACGACTGAACCACTGCGCGCACTGCCCTCCCTGGACAAGGTGGTCCTGTGCTGTCGGGGTACTGACGGTGCGGCTAAATTGAACGGATTCGCCGCGCGGAAATGGCCTCGTTCATCGTGGCGGCAACTACACCGCCCTTGTAGGGCCTTTGAGTGTATTCCTCTCCGCATCCTTCACATGCCCATACCGCACTTAAACTCAAAGAGTCTCTTGATGGCCGTTGTCCGCCCCCTGGCGAACCTGGCATCCCTGGCGGGCCTGACATGCCGGAAGTGCCGTGTCTCTCGTCATGATTTCGTGATTTGGTGATTTCCTAGAGGGGTGCCGTAAATCATGGTCATACGTGGGCTCTTCCAAACCAGCGGCCCCCCATCGCGCCAAGAAGCAAGTTGCCCCACTCGCAGCTCGCAGCTCAGTTCGCGCGAGTTCCGACACAACAATAGGGACAAACTATGCGGGAGTAAGCTGGCGAGCGTCAAGCACCGGGTACGTGATGTGAGACTGACGTAGTACGTGCCTTGTTGGCGTTGTTGACTCCGTTCCGTTGGCCTTTTCGCCCCCGAGAGACCAGAAAATCACATATCTCCCATATCCACCCGCAGCGCTTGCTGCCCACCCCTCCTCACTCAAACTTCGCACGAACCCAACGCTGAGTTGGTCTTCATCTCTCATATGCCGCTCCCTTCATCGCCAGTATCTTCTTCTCGTCGCGGCGTCCAAGGCCGGGCTGCCGCTGCCCCTCGCCCGCCCCTTACTACCGTCGTCGACAACAACGAACGCGGGCGCTCTTCT